CTACCTCCGAGGCGCGAGGTAGACCACAAGATAGAGTTGAAGGTTGGAGCTAAGCCACCCGCAAGCGCACCTTACCGCATGGCTCCACCCGAATTAGAGGAGCTTAGGAAACAGTTGAAAGAGCTCCTCGAAGCCGGTCACATTCGTCCATCTAAGGCACCTTATGGCGCGCCGGTATTATTCCAGAAAAAGAAGGACGGATCCTTGCGCTTATGCATCAACTATCGGGCGCTTAATAAGGTAACAATTAAGAACAAATATCCTATCCCACTTATTGCCGACTTATTTGACAGACTTGGACAGGCCAAGTACTTCACGAAGGTGGACCTCCGAAAAGGGTACTACCAAGTACGCATCGCTGAAGGAGACGAACCAAAGACAGCATGCGTAACCAGATATGGAGCATACGAGTGGTTGGTGATGCCTTTTGGCCTAACCAACGCACCCGCCACATTCTGCACGCTGATGAACAGGATCTTTCAGCCCTACCTAGATCAGTTCGTGGTAGTGTACTTGGACGACATAGTCATCTACAGCAACACTTTGGAGGAGCACGTAGAGCATTTAAGGAAAGTCTTCCAAGTCTTAAGAGAAAACCAGTTTTATATTAAGCGGGAGAAATGCGAGTTTGCCCAACATGAAGTGCATTTCTTGGGGCATATCATCAGCCAGGGCGAACTTCGGATGGACGACGCCAAAGTACGGGCAATCCGAGAATGGGAGGTGCCTACCAACGTGACCGAGCTGCGATCGTTTCTCGGACTTGCGAATTATTACCGCAGGTTCATAAGGGGTTACTCCGCAAAGGCCGCTCCGCTGACTGAGTTATTAAAGAAAAATAAGCCATGGGTATGGAACGCGGAGTGCAAGCAACCGTTCGAAGGTCTCAAGGCCGCGATAACGGAAGAGCCGGTCTTGACGCTGCCTAACTTCTCTAAGACCTTCGAAGTACACACGGATGCCTCAGACTTCGCCATTGGGGGAGTCTTAATGCAGGAAAGACACCCCATAGCATTCGAAAGCCGCAAGCTGAACGAGACCGAGCGGCGCTATACGGTGCAAGAAAAGGAAATGACGGCCATAGTGCATTGCCTGCGCACTTGGAGGCATTACTTGTTAGGCTCCAAGTTCGTGGTCAAGACAGACAACGTAGCCACTAGCTACTTTCAATCACAGAAAAAGATCACCCCAAAACAACCTAGATGGCAGGACTTTCTAGCCGAGTTCGACTACGTCTTGGAGTATAAACCAGGAAGAGGCAATGTTGTGGCCGACGCGTTGAGCAGGAAGGCCGAACTAGCTGCCATCACTACAGCCCATTGTGATATTCAAGATGCAATCAGGGATGGCATACAACATGACCCCGAGGCCAAGAAGCTGATGGAGTTAGCCACCCAAGGCAAGACTAGACGCTTTTGGGTGGAGGAAGGCCTCTTGCTCACGACCGGTCGTAGGGTCTACGTGCCGAAGTTCGGGACCATCAGGCGGTGAATAATCAAGGAAAGCCACGACACACCGTGTGCCGGGCATCCAGGGCAGCGAAGAACGAGGGCGTTGATCGAAGCCATCTATTTCTAGCCACGCATGCGGGACGATATCGAGCGCTATGTGCAGACTTGTCTTGTGTGCCAGCAAGACAAAGTAGAACAAAGGCATCCGGGAGGACTATTGGAGCCACTACCCGTAGCGGAACGTCCATGGGAGAGCGTAACTATGGACTTCATCACTTCACTACCTAAGTCCGACGGGTATGGAACTATTATGGTCGTGGTGGACAGGTTCTCGAAGTATGCCACCTTTATACCCGCCACAGCCGGATGCACCGAAAAGGAGGCCGCTCGATTGTTCTTCAAGAACGTAGTGAAATATTGGGGGTTGCCAAGACACATCATTAGCGACAGAGACCCCCGCTTTACTGGGAACTTTTGGAAGGAGCTGTTCGAGATACTTGGCACTAAACTTCACTTCTCCACAAGTTTCCACCCGCAGACAGACGGCCAGACAGAACTTGTTAACGCCCTATTGGAGTGCTACTTAAGGCACTATATCAGTGCGCATAAGAAGGATTGGGCCATATTCCTAGATATGGCGCAGTTTTCATATAATTTGCAAATGAGTGAGTCCACCGGGCGCACGCCGTTCGAGTTGGCGACGGGCCAACAGCCCCAGACTCCACATTCTTTACCAGCCGCCTTTGAAGGAAAGAGTTTGGGAGCTTACCATCTTGCCAAAGGATGGGAAAAGCAGCTTGACACTGCCAAGTCTTACTTGGACAAGGCAGCAAGCAAGATGAAGAAGTTTGCCGACCGCAGACGACGTCCCACGGACTATAAGGAAGGCGACATGGTCTTGGTGAAATTCAATCCAAGACAGTTCAAGGCACTAAGGGGCGTCCATCAAAACTTAGTGCGAAAATATGAGGGGCCGTTCAGGATCGTTGCCAAGGTAGGCAAGATCTCATACAAGGTGGAGTTACCTCCACACTTCAAAATCCACCCGGTGTTTCATGCAAGCGTCCTCAAGCCTTACCATGAGGACAAGGAAGACCCTAGCCGGAACCAACCCCGTCGGGCCCCCATTACTGTCACTGCCTCGCACGACCGGGAGATTGAAGCTATCATAGACTATCAAGCCAAACGAAAGCGGGGACAGCAAGCCAGCGCCATGTTCCTTGTGCATTGGAAGGGACAATCTCCGGAGGAGGCCACATGTGAGAGATATGAAGACTTGTGGCAATTTAAGGACCAAGTCTGGGATTTTCTGCAGCAATGCGCCGCGGTCGTCGCATCATCGGGTGGGGGAGCGTGTCATGTCCCGCCACTATCAGAGCCAAATTTTGCAGCAAAGAAGGCATAGAGGTTTCTAGAGTCAAGTAGAGAACTCTAGAATGCCTTAGAAATTTCAAGAAGGCCTTGGAGACTTCTAGGCTATGAAGAATTCTCTAGAAAAGGGGCCAATGTGTAAATACTCTAGGGACTTATCATGTAAATATTAATTGCACTTTAGTCCTTAGGAAGTAGTATAAATAGAGGTGTCACTCATTTGCAAAGGCACCACTCAAGTGTAAAGCATTCTCCAAAGCAATACAAAAGCCTTCTTCCAAAAACTCTCTCTTTGTTCTATCTAAGTCTTTCCTTAAGCATTCTCTTAGCGATCTAAGTCTTAAAGGCTTCCTTGAGTTTACAAGATCTTGAAAGAGTAGTGAGTAAATTGTCAAGGGCCACACGGAACTTTAGCCAACACTCTAAGTCCGTGACAACTAGGTACAAAGCCCACCAAACCATGATCTCAACCTTTTTTATTTTTGATTTTTGGTAGAAAATATGAGTGGCTTGAGATGGAAAGAAGGAAAATAAAGCAAGAAATCCAAATTTGCTTTGAAAGTGTGAGATAAGTCGATGCTGAGGACGCATTCAAATAATGAATTTTTGGTAGTTAATTAGTAATAGTTGATCTGAACAGATGGTTGTGCTAAATTTAAAATTGATATTTATGTCGAGAATTAATATCGTGACGAAAAGATGGTTAGTTCGTAACTAGCTTGCGTGAAAAAAGAAACTAATTAATTAAAATTAAAATTGGAAAGAGATAAAAGAGACATAAAATGAAAACCGAATAATGAACTTTTGGTAGCTAGTAATAGTTGAACTGATGAGACGGATTGCTCCAAACTTAAAATTGACATTTATGTGGAGAATCAATATTGAGATCGTTTGATCATAACTTGCGTAGAAAAGATTGTTAGATTGTAGTTCGCATAATCACATTTAAAAAGAGAGACAACTAATTAGAACTAAAATAGGAAATAGATGAAAGAGAAATTGATGAAAACTTAATAATGAACTTTTGATAGCTAGTAATAATTGAACTGATGAGATAGATTGCTCCAAACTCATAATTGACATTTATGTCAAGAATCAATATTGTGATAAACAAATCTATGATCTAACGTGAAAAAGATTAATTGATTATAACTTATGTGAGAAAAAGCTAATCAATTAAAATTAAAATAGAAAGAGAAAGAGAGAGAGAAATTGATGAAAACCGAAATATGTGTTTCAAAAAAACAATATACTTCTAGGTAGGGGTGTTCACGGTTTGGATAGAAACTGATTCAAACCGAAAAATCGAACCAAATCGATAAAATAAAACCAATTTTATTTGGGTTTGGTTTGGTTTGGTTTTAGATTTTTGAAAACCGATAGTATTTGATTTGGTTATGGTTTTATTCGAAAAAACCGAAGAAATAACCGAACCAAACCGATGAATTATATACATATATTTTATTAATATACATACTTAATATATTATTTTTATAAACAATTTTAAAGATCTTATATATGTTTTCATTATAATTACCTTATTGAAAGCAAAAATGTCCAAGGTGAAAATATTTATTTTATTGATTTCATGTATAAGAGTGTCTATGACAATTCTTTGTGGGACTGAAAATGTTAATGTCTCTTCCTTCTAAGCCAATATAGTGAATTTTAAAGCTTTAATCATAATAAATTCAGTGATCGAAAGTTCAATAATTTCAGTCATTCTTATTATTTTTTTGTTTTGAATGGATTGTTGTTACTTTTTTCACATTTTGAATGAATTTTTTCTTTTATTTTTGTTTATGGTTAATAACCAAATAACCGAATCAAACCAAACCGAAACCGATAACCACAAAATCGATAAATATATATTATATTTGGTTTGGTTTGGTTTTGATAATTTTAAAACCGATTAAGTTGATTTGGTTTTGATTTTGACCAATAACCGATCCAAACCGACCCGTGAACACCCCTACTTCTAGACATATACTAATATTTTGTCATTTGAAGTTTTGTACCCTCATTAAAAAAGTTATTTGAGTATTAACTACAATTGTTATTAGTATTAAATCTTTGTGTTTATGAAATTATGAATCCAGATATACTACTTGTCATAATTTTGATAAAATTCTATGGATAAATTTAAATTCTACATTAAAAGAATTAGATTTTATAAAATTTCACGAAAAAAAATATATATCATACATTATGTTTTTAACCTTTGTCGTAGGTAGCACAAAAAAATATGTTACAACGACATGTATGTCCCAACATTACAAGCATCGACACCTTAATACAAACTCTAATTATACATAGACGCAATACTTTCACAAATTAAAGCCTAAATTAAAAGTAGCTTGTCATCAAAAATTAAAATTAACAAAAAAAAAAAACTTAGTAGCAACCGGTCTAAAGCCAAACGACGGTTCAAGCGTTGATTCCGGTCGGACCGGGTTTAGTGTTAGATCCAGTAGCCATGTTGGCTACGTGAAATTGTGACACGTATTTGTAAGCTGCACCTTCTGGTTCTTTCACTGGTGGCTCATTTAAATGTGCCCAATTGCTACTTATCCACCTGCAATTAAAAATTTATTTTATATATAAATAAATAAATATTATTATTATTTTTAATCAATCAACTAAAAATAATTTCAATCATCTAGCCGTAATAATATAGTTGTCACTCAATATATAATAAGCATTTGATTAATATAACTATAAAAAAAATGATCTTTACCGATAATTAAATTAATAGCAATAACTTAATGAATCGCTGTTGTTAATAACTAATAAAGATCATTATCAAAAAGCTATAAATTAATTACGTTTAATTACCATCCATTTTTCTTGATTAGTTGATCTAAACTCTCCTGATTTTCCAAATTAGAAAGACTTTCTTCCGCTGTTTTAGTTGCCTCCTCAAATACAATATTTGCCTGTCTCCAATTAAAACAGCCAAAAATTAATCACCATAATGTTATGGAGTTCGACAGAACTCAATAATTATAATTTAAAATTCTTGAATCTTATACCTGATTTTGGCTTCGAGGGGATAAAGTAGAGATATATTTTTGATGCTCTTCTTCTATTAGTTTTTTGGATCTCCAATATGCATCTATCTCTCCCTTTGTTAATGACTTATTTTTTCGGAATTTCACTATAAATTAAATCCAAAAAAGAAAAAATGTTAAAAATTAAACAAATTATAAAAGGACTAATATAATTTGTCATTAATTAAAGAAATGAAAATTAAAATGAACTTACTAGCTTGAGGATCAGAAACAGGAGAGTCCCAACCTGCCATAAGAGAACCCATAATTATCTATTTTCTTGCTAATTAACTTCTTAATTAAACTGAACACACACTTAATTAATTTCACTCAACTTGTTATTTTGTGGAAAAATTGAGTCTATTTTATAGAGATAGAAAAAAACAGACAATGGTTTATGGTGGGGCCTACCTTAAATTGCTGCTCTTATCTCTAACAAAAAACAAAACACTATTTTATTATTAAATTAGGATTAATTAATTTATACTAAACCGGTTTCCAAGCCCGCTGATTCAAGAGTTAAGTTAGAGGCCGACTAGTTAAACATGAAATTCAAATGAAAGAAGGTTCCCCGGGGAGCTACTTTAATAGCAGGCGACACATGTCCTGGTTCTGGTTCTGGCTGATCCACCGACGTTTATAGTGCCTTGATATATATCGGATTTCAAAAATTAAAAAAGACATACTTTGATCGTGATTTATTTATATATTTTTAAAATATTTTAAATTATTAAGTTTTTACTTAAAATCATAATAGTTTTATATAATTTATAAATAAATAAATTATATTTTAATAATATTAGAAATTATATATTTAAATGCTTAATCAAAATAAAATAATTTGAACGTTGAAATTCAAACTATAGTATATAAATTGGGACAATAGAAATAACTATTAGTTTTTTGATTTTCAACTCGGTGTTTAGAGCTCATATTAGAGTTTTAATTAAATTTGAATTGCGCATCATAGGCTCAGTCGGGAATGACACTCTCACAAGAAGTGAAACCTCTTATTAAAGATTATTAAGGATGAAGTAGTCTCACCGCTGCCGTGGAGCGTTAGAAATAACTATTAATAGTGCCTGGATTTCTTTTAGCCGCCCACAGGATATGCATACAAGATAATAAAAAATATAGAGAAAATGAAAATATCTTATATACATGATGGATTAGTATGTCCACTAAGTTGTCACGTCAGATAATTTATCTCTATTCTTATCCTAGTCAAGTTAGATTTTTTTATTTTTTTAAAAAATAAAATAACAATTAAATTGCTTTTGAAAAGCAGTTTAAAAATATTTTTCAAAAATTAAAATAATTTCTTTTAGGCTAAGTACTTTTACTTTAGCCAAACATTAATTATTGCAATTATATTTACGAATGTTAGTTTTAAATTAATTAATTCGATATAAATTATTATTAAGAAAGTATTTTTAATTTAAAAATTTGAGCAAACATACTTTTAAATGTATGTACTATGTACTCTTTAACAAATTAAACTAACACCAAATTTAGAATCTACGTACGATAAAAGTAGCAAACGTATCTTTTACTTAGAAAGAAATGCTAAGACGATTTTTCTAAGTTTAATATATAGAAAGTTTTGAAAAATAAGTTTAACTTTCGTATTAGGAATTTGAGGTTTGAACTCTTAACAAATTAAATTATGGGCCAAAGGTGTTTGATTAAATGTTCTCGAAGATTAATTAGTTTATGTGGAATTTGCATTAAACTTGGAATTGGACAACATGAAACTTGGATATTATTATCTAATAGAAAAAAAGAAAACATTATCAACATCAAAGTTTGCTTTGTTACTTTTAAATGTCAATTTTTTTACCCAGCATGCCTGGCATCCACTTCCCATTTGTATATGTAAAAATAATTAAAATTTAGGATTATATCTTTTTCTTAGTTGATATAGCGTTCATGATAAAAGAAGGTTGTTTGAATGATAAGTACCATCCATCTTCAGCTTTGAATGACCCCTAAATTTATTTGCTATGAAAATACCTGCCCTGAACGATTAATCAGAACGAATCATATTTTTATGGGCTAATTTTATCATCCGTCTAAAAAAAAGATAAAAGTTGACAAGTATACTTTGTTTAAGAACAAGAATTTGATTACATTAATCTTTTAATAGATAGATCACTCTCTCTACATAATAAATCCAAGATCTTTTGTGTCTTCACTAAAACATTGGTCATATTTGTAGAGGGTTCAAATAATAACTAAACTGATTTTTTTTTTAAAAAACAAATACATAGAGTAGTACAAAATAATAGTATTTGGGAAAGTTTCATGGGCTGCTTCTCTTTTTGTTGAATCTGTTGGAGTTGACTTTAGATAAAGGTGTCAAATGTGTGGGCTTGGACCTAGTCCAACTTTTTGGGCCCATAATACTTTCCTTCAAGTAGGGCACATCTTCTTCACTAGACAAAGTCCTTAACCAATCTACCCTATTATTAGAACTTGCACCTGGCCCAAAACACTTGTACTCAGCAAAATATGATGTCCTGTTACCAAAATACCAATGTCAAAAATTAAAAATGATTATATTCGCTAGAAGGTGCAAGTAGTAACTAGGATACATTGAGGATAAAATGAGAAAAGGTCGATCGCTTGCAATAGTCTAGTCATATCTTGCATAGATCACCTAGGGATGCATAAGTTAGTAGCTAGCATATATTGAGGATAAAATGAGAAAAGGTCGATTGCTTGTGATAGTCTAGTCATATCTTGCATAGACCTAGGGAATAGGGATGCATAAGTTTGAACGACCGAAGGTGTAAAAGGGAGTGAGACGGGAAATCTTAATAGTTCATTTGGTTGGCTACCTGAACACTTATTTTGTTGGTGAGGGTTCATAATAATCCCCTCCCTATTTCCCCTTCCCCTAAAAAAAGAAAAGAAAAATGGAAGGAGGCGAACCTAAAATAACATGAAAGGAAATTGTCTCGAAAGACTTACAATTTCTTGGAATAAATACGGATTTGGTAAAATAAAAAGGGATAATGGAGGAAAAAGATTCATATAGGTGACATCGAGTAGGTTTTAGTCTTGTAGACACCACTAACTTTCTTGGAACTTAAGCTTAAATATTGTTTATAGTTGTACCTGCTACAACAAGTTAAAATACAGTAATAGTAATAGTATACAAATTCTATATATTGTCGATGCGTATATATGTACCTTTGTCTAGAGGAGTCATTCCAATCTTCCCAACCATTGGGGAGTATAACACTTGACATGTAAGTTTGAGCAAATACAACCCTAGCATAAGCACCCCATGGCCTCCCAAGAATTGCACTCTTTACTCCAGTAATCTTACATCCATAGAAAGTGAAACCTGTATTCTCTTGAGGTGATTGCCTATGGTGTGCTGTTATAGCCCCATTCGATTGCGAAAGCGAATGCAAATGACATTTCTACCCCCAATAAAAAAAACGATGGGTCAATTATGGTTAAGTAATAAATAACATATATGACAGATAATTGATTTGATGTAAATATCGAGTATATATTGTATGTTTATGTTACCTCAAATAGAGAAGCAGCATTTCCACATATGAAATCAGTGTCCCCTTCAATATAACAATTTTTATAATAATGTCTACCAACATCATCAAGTAATGTGTCTTGATGAGACATAATTCTACAACCCAGAAAGGTTGCTTTATCTCCTTCTACCCTCAATGCCACTGCTTTTTCTCCACTTCCATATGTGTTCTATTAATTAACATAAAAAAAATTCAATTAGTCAAGATGCCAAATGCCACACTTTAATTTGAGTGTCATATTAGCGGGCTAGATTGAATTTGACCAGATCAAAACAGATTGATTTAAGAATCGTCAGCTCAAAAGCTACTTGCCTTAGTTAGGTTGGTCTAAATAGGTTGGCTATTTTTGATAAATTGAATTAGCGGGTCAAAATAGGTTGAACTAACAAAATGAACGGATTATTCATCCAATGAAACATGAGAAAATTGAGTATGATTTCATATACTAATTTTATCACCTAAACAAAGTAACCTTATAAACATGTTAGCTTATAATGGATAAATTAAACTACCATTATATGATCAACAACAAATTCACATAGTGGGGTCTACACAGGGTAAAACGTACACAGACCTTACCCCTACCTTCAAGGTAGACAAATTGTTTCTGATAGATTTTTTACTCAAGAAAAAAGAAATAATGATCACAACCATATAAATAAATAAATTATGCAACATACCTGAATTGTAAGGTATCTAGCCACAAAGTCAGAAGCAAAAACAGTGAAAGTAGGAGATTTGAATATATCTCCATAATCATTTCCAGTAATTATAGTATTTTTGACTGTTGTTTTTCTCCCACTAATTGTTATAAATGGCTTGTCACTTGGAACAACAACTTTTTCTGTATAAACACCAGGCTTTACCAAAATAAATACATGTTGTGTATTCTTTGAAGGCACTGCATCAATTGCATCTTGTATTTTCTTGTAATCACCATTACCAGATTGATCTACTATTATCAAAATTGCATTTGACAATTGACTTGATGATGTCATCGTAGCTTCGGAAAAAATCACTAAATAACTCGTAGCTAATAGAACAATTGTAATTATTGAAGTGTACCCGTGAAATAAAGCCATATCTTGAATAACAGTGACAAAGTCAAAAATTTTGATATACCTGCGATACAAAAGCGAAAATGAATTAAGAAAGTTATAAACTTCTTGCATTTTTCGTGGAATCGAATATGAAGTATTAATAGACAAAAATAAAATGAAATTCCTTGTCGCATAAGTAGCAACATGCATGATACAATTTGAAATTAGAAGAAGAGAAGAGGTGATTCTTATTCCGAAATATTTTTTGAATTACCTTTATCCGCTACACTAGAAAATTCAACAGTATATATGTGCACAAAAAGAATTTTTGGTTTTTCTCTATATGCACGATATAATTTTCTGATCGAAACTTTTGAGTCTACCTAGAAACTCAAACTTAGGAAAAAGAATTTTAGAACTTTGAGAAATGTAACTTTAAGACAATTGAACAATAACCTTCTATATGTGTGTATATATATAGACATAGTGGACAATGACCACATTGGCAAGGTCAATTTTCAACAGGTTTTCTTGAAAATAAAGTAGTTCAAAATTCTGATATTTCTCCATTAACTTGAATATGACCATGTTTTTCTCCATGCCAAACTTGATAAATAGAAACACATGGCACAAATAAAATAAAATAAATTACATGTTTTTTTAAAATCCTCGTAAGAGCTCTCACCTTTTTGCTTCGTCAATGATTCATACAGATGCTTACCATCCGAACAACTCTGTTCTGTCATAAATTTGTAGTAGATACTAAAACTTTATTTTTGAAAAAATAAAATAAAATTATATGGCAGTTTGATTAAAGTGGGGACTAGGGAAGTTAGCAATTAGGAGAAGTAGGCGGGAAAAAAAAGGTTGTTTATATTATATCAGTTAATTTGCACATCTAAAATTTGGCGCCGTTTATACTTTATATTATAAAGTTTATAACGATTTGAATTGCCTAATTTAATTTGAAGTATAACTGTATAAGTACGTGCTGCACAACTTATATATTATGTATAGTGGAAAATTACCTTAATTCTTTAGGCATTCAATTTTAGAATGAAAAAGTAAATAAAATGTTTGACTGGTCAAGGATTGAACGACTTGTAAAAAAAGTCAACTTTTGAATGTATTAAAAGTTGATCATTAAAAGTTATTCGATGGTTAATTACCACTAATTGCTTTTGGTACAAATCTTTGGGGTTGCCTTTTAAATAAATTAAACGCGGGGCTACATTTTTATTTTGTTTATATTACTGTATTAGTAATCGATTTAAGCTTGTTTGACTTTCAATTTGCTTATTTTGAAAAGAAGGCATTGACGAAAAAAGTACATTATTTATCAGAAGTATTTTTTGAAAAAAGATTTGAAAATACATTTGGCAAATTATATGAAATAATAATTTATATTTGACTAAGATAACAAAAATATTTGGAAGGATGGGTGGGTGGGGTTATGATTTTTAACTTCTGCAAAACGACTTTTGCTTATGTAACAACACTTAATTATTTTCTAAAAAACTTGATCAAACACTTCAACTTTCCAAAATAAGCATTTCATTTAAGTAAAAAAAAAATATGATTTCACAAATAGAATATATTCTTTAGTTTTAATTTTTAGTTTTTCCGGTAAAAAAGGAAATCTTTCTCTGTTAACTATGGACAATTAAATAACTATCTTTAATTTATGTATACAGTCAATCGAGAAGTTAAATATGAGAGCCAACAATAAAAACGTCATCTATTATGTTATAACTTATAAAAGAAAATGAATATACAAAGATTAATTCTAAAAAATAATATGTAGTTGTTCTCTTCACATGTTCATATGACATCTAAACAGTTTAACGGGAATACACGTGCAAAACACATCTGGTTAGATGACAAGAAAAATACACAAGAAATATCGTCTATAACGTAATATTAATGAGATACGACTAAATAAATGATTGAACCTAGCTCATCAAATTAAAATAAATATATGAATTATTGCATTTAACTAATAAAACTTTCCATTCATGACCATTTTCATAGATTCGCGTGAATAAGAGATATGCCGATTCACATTTAACATTTACAAAAAAAACTGTAATATTATTTTGTGCAAAACTTATTATTCAAATCTTCACTTAAATAAGCAATATATTTACTATAACATATATTTTTTGAATTGATAATCACGTGCAACACATGTCAATATACACATTCGGCATGAGGTAGTTAATTAGTTTTATTATGGTTGGTATGTATCATATTCTATATATTATTTAAAAGTTGTAATTAACGAAATATTAATAAAATATTTTTGTTCTGCGTTTGGTAACCAATGACTCTCGACCTAAAGGCTAAAACGTATTTTCAATTCTGTGGATGTTAAATAAGATTCATATATATTTTTCTAAATTTTATTTGGCCAACATCATTTTATTAAATAAGTGGATAAACGTAACCTTCGTTACCTGCTCAAAGCTCTACAAACATAACATTTCTATGAATCATAGTAAAAAGAAAAGGAAAAAAAAAAAAGCAGGACACATGAAAATATAAAAAGTAAAATCACGTTAAAATCAAAGAGTGTCAATATGTAATAAATATACATATGAATATATTTTTACTTAACTACGTCACGGACACCCTCAAGTATATGTGGCGCGCCATTGGATACGCACTATTAAAACTCAAAAACATTTAATTCTATAATGGGAAATTAAAGAAAATGACATAAAATTTATCTACAAAACATTAGACAATAGGTCATCTAACTTCAACGGTTTAACTATATCAATAAATGTTATTATTATATTGATTAGTCACGATCACAAGTCATGACATTTCTTAATTTTTCAACTAACAAAAAATATATTTGACTCTTAAAAGAGTAGTTTGCTAAAAAAATGTATAGAGATAGCAACATCATATCCAACATTGACTTATTAGTTGCATTGTCATACGTGACTTATGAATTACATTTGCCATACGTAATCAATATAGATGTGAATCGCGTTTGGCAAGAGTGATTGAGTTGATGTAGCAGTAATATCCCATAATTAGAGTTGAGGGATCGAATCCCACTTAATCCTTTCACAATTAAACTCATCGCACTAGTTAAGTTCTCATTTTCTATGTGGTTTGCATCTCTTCCTTTCAGTTGAACTCGTCACATCCGACTTACCCAATTAGATTCATATCTTCTGTAATTTGCGAGCTATTGCACAAGAACATGTTCATCCAATACACTTTGCATGATCTCTCGTTATGAAAGACAAACTATTAAACTCCAACATTACATTAGAACAAAAATTGAAGCTTGAGAATGTTAAATTTGGCATTTTTTTGGGTACTATAATTCGAAATCAAAATGCTGAAATTCATTGTTAACGGTTTAATTCCACGTTTTATCGTAAACTTGTTGATTTCCAGTGATGATGTTAACCTTTTTGAGTTGTCCTGAGAATTCAAATATTGAGATCAAAGCTATAGGTAAAATGGTGCAAAATTGGAGACTACTTACGAGCAACACATACCAGGTAACTCTGTCCATGAAATGTAGGACATATGGAAAGAAATCACCTAGTATTTTTGTCTACACTGGAATTTGAACTTGAGACCTCATAGTTCTTATCTCGCTTCATTGATCACCAGGACACACCCTTGGGTGCGCTCTTTTGCATATTCAATAGCGTGAAATGTAAGCTTTGATGTTCCTTTTGTTAGTTCAACATTACTTGTCTAATGTGTTCTTCGTCATGAATTTGATTCCATGATTATTGGTCAGTAAACGAGTTATCGAGGGAAGGCAATGACACTGAAAACAACTATTCATGAGATTAATAAGGTCCTTCACATGTACTATATACGCGAAATGCACATCAAAACCAGGAAATAGATAACAACATTTCATGGATATCATGTTTTATTGATCATTTGCATCTCTGTTACAATTTCTTTCAGCAGATATTATTGAATATGTATAAAATGATATGTTAACTTTCATTAGTTACATGCATTAGTTTCAAAGAATGTCGATATCATTATCTCTCTTCTTCTTACCGCCAACATGACAGCCATGTTTCCGAGGTTTTTCAGGGTTGGCTGAATCAGAATCACTTGGTTCAACGAAAAGCCCTTCGAGACATCTTCTTTTGATTGTTGGCTTGTATGTATGTTTCTGGGCACGGGTAACATTATATTCGGTCTTGTGTGCCTCAAACAGTCCAGTTTTCTCACTTGTTTTTGGTGGTTCGGAAGGCATACGAGGGAATGTCATATGTATACCTGGATTTTTCCCCTCAATAGTACTGTCAAATGTAATTGAGTTGTTGAGCCCCTGCACATTGCAGTTCATGTATGCCTCTAGTTCTTGATCTTTCATCGTCCTTGCATCGTTTGTCTGTTTTCCCTTTGAAGTTCCCTCTGCATCTGTGGTTGCATCGGCAGTTTCATCTGCATTCAGTTTGTAGCCTCTGTGAATGTGAACTGCCTTTCCTTTTCTTGATGAGTTTGAACTAAGTTGCATAGATGCTCCTCTGTTATCCCCTGCAAGGGTGATTACGCTCACCGGCCCCTCTTCCAATTTTTGCTTGCCATCTCCAACTGTCATCCTATTAATAAACTTTGAGATGTTATCTTTTACCTCTTTGTTAAGGGGTATATCTGGTTCAGCTGAAATTGTTCTTGTCTGTTTTCCATTAGAGACACGGTTCACCCGAATTTGATCATTATCAGAATTGGCTTGCTTCTCTGTATATGCTTGCTTTGATTGAAACACAATGTCTGGATCCGCGGTCTGTTGCACTACTTCCTTCACTTCTTTAGTTTCCGGGATGTTTGTCTCCAACGGCCTGGCTGTCTTAGGTTCACTAGTGATTCTTGAAGAATCTGAAGGTTTTACATTTTCAGGTGACTTATCTTTTGCTTCAATTAATGTGCCAGATATGGCTTCTTTCTTGGGAAGCTCCATTTGTTCTGATTGAGGCTTAACTGTTGCCGGCATTGGTTCTTTTTCAGAGTTTGATGGAAGTGTTTTGGTGGATTTGGGAGAAATTTCTGAGCTGTCTTGTGATTGTTTTGGTGGAGATGTTGGCTGGGAAATTGTCTGATCGTTCAGTTGCATTTGAGATGTTATATCAGATGGATTTGAAGAAGTCTGCCTCACAGGGTTAGCTGGCTTTGGGGCAAGTTGGTCAGTTGAAAGGACCTGAGGACCATTGCGTGTTGGGGAGGATTTTGGACTCATTTCTTGTGATTGAGGAGCTGGACGAGATGGAGGCTGAGATGCATTGGACTTATTTGCCACATCAGATGGTGAAGCTGGTTGAGAAGAGAGGCCTTGATGTTCTTGAGATGGTATCAAGGATTGAGATTCAGCTCCGGAGGGAGCAACTCCTGGAAGACTAGATTGTGGTCTCTCAGATATTGTGGATGTAGGGGTTTGAGTTTCATTTTTTGGGCTAGCTGGACCATTTGTTGGTTTAGTGTTTGTGGTAGAGGACTCGATAGGAGCTTTGTTTTCAGCTGAAGGTTGAGGGGGATTTGTTAGAGTTTCAGGTAAAGCGCTTGTGCTCGTGGTGGTGGGCTGGCTAGGCACTTTTGGTGGTGAAGAAGGCTTTCCAGATATCGCGGTTGTAGTGGAACTTGGTGGCTGCTTTGGAGTTGAGTTTTCATTTGCAGGACTAGAGGAAGGGCTATTTTTGGATTTAGTGCTGCTGGAAGGCTGTGATCTCGTCCCCTGACGAGTTGTTCGACTAGAACCAGTAGATTTGGTATTAGGCTGAGTGGCTGGTTTGGTTGCAGGTTCAGGTTCAGATGCAGAAGACCAAGGAAAGCGTAATCGAAATGTTGATCTTCTATCCATTTTACAAAGAACAAATCTTATGAAGCAAATAAAAACTTTACTGTTCAATTATCTGGTGAATGATGATATGCAACTACCAAAACACATCAATATATAAAAGGTTTGTTTTTGATACCTTAGAACATGTAATGTCTTAACTTGCCTTCTCACCTTCACCTTTAGCTTCTTTCCCCTCACTACAGGCAATCAATAATAATGTTCAATTGCCTTATGATTAAGGTTAGCATCTCAAATTTTGTTTATTCTATGTGCATTTAGCATAATCTACTTAAAAATATGAACATATTTTAATTGCCTTATCAAAGAATATCTTGGCATGAGGCAAAGGAAAAGGTTAAGGGAAGAAACTAAGTTAAATTTTCCTATTAAATAGTTGATGACTTCTACAAGAAGCAACGCATTAGAAGCAAAATTCGCGTTAAGTATTTTCCAGATTTAGTAGTTCAAGCAAAGAACACAAAAATGGAATTCATATAAATAACTAAAGGAGAGTACTCATACTTCTCTTGTGACTTTCTTGCTTGAGCATATAATCATCACTAGCTGATACAAAATTGCCAATTGAAGATATTCTTTCCTCAAGGTAAGTTCTTCGATTTCTGTACTACTTTTGAGTTAGACCTAGTCATAGACGGAGCCAGGATTTAGAGTTTATACTACATTAATAACTGAGATCACGGTCAAATATTTGTCTAAATTTAGTAGGTTTCTTGTTATATATACAGAACTTGAGCAAAAGTTATCAGGTTCACGTGAATCCTTAATCAGGCCTTGGGATCCTTTCCTTATAAGACTGACATTCATTTTGATGAACATAACATTGGAAAGCAAATGATGTACAAGTGTTTGATAATATGATATAAGTTTTGTACCTTAATTACAGGAACACAATGCAAGGTGTTATACGCGTGGTGAGATCATGCCATGAAAAGCTCAAGGTTACAATTCTACAGCACCCACAATTCAAAACCACAAGTGAGATGAACAAAGTATTCGCAAGATTTGGACGTGTTATCTCCTTCCCCACAGTGCAGAGCAAGGAAGCCAAAGACATAGTTGTCTCAGAATCTTCCACAATGCAGCAAAAGGGGTTGGAGAATACAACAGTTGCTGATGTACTAATGATAAAAGATGAAGAAAAAGGTAACTCATGGCTTTGTTGTCGAACAAATGACACAGCGTATGATGCCATCAAACAAGTAAGTTGCTTAAAACTTCAACATCACCATAGAATGTCAACAATGTTTTATTTAGTTATAGACATACAAATAGCAATGTTGATATGATGATGGTGACAAATTTGTAGATGGCAGCAAACAATATCGGGTCTTTGGTCGTTCTAAAGCCAGGAGAGAATCAACTGATAGCTGGAATTATAACAGAAAGAGGTATGCCTTCCAATTCACATACAAATGTTGAACTTATTGATCTAAGCACCAAACAGCTTTTTAACCAAAACTTTCTAGTTTCTACTACACAATTTTTGAAGCAATAGACGTTTTGCTCGATTAGATATAATGTTGAACTTATTCATCTATGCACATTGTACAAGCAAAGTACAGACTATCTGCGGAAGGTAATTGTACAGGATAGATCATCTAAATACACAAGAGTCGGAGATATTATGACCGAGCAGGTACTCTATATATCGTCTTTCTGGCTTTAACTTTTGTCATCTCTCTTCTGTTTTATGCTCATATTAGTACTACCTTTGCAACAGAGCAAGCTGATAACCGTCACATCGGACACAAACATTCTCCAAGCAATGCAGCTCATGAGTGGTAAGTATTAGTTCAACTCGAGAAGTTAGTTATGCTTTGATGCTCTAAGGAAATGTGATGGAATGTTTTATGATCACAGAGCACCACATACGACATGTTCCAGTGATCGATGGGAAGGTAGTAGGCATGATTTCTGTGGCGGATATTGTCAAAGCAGTGGTGGATCAACAAACTGGAGAAGTGAAGCAACTCAATCAATTCATCCGAGGAGATTACTACTGAAAACATTATTAGCAAAGCCACAACAATATTCATTGTAACTTTCAAATTGTCAACAACAAGATCTAGAAACGTAGTGTTCAATTTCAACCAATTATATTTGGCATAATACATAAATATGCCCTTTAACTTGGCTTTAGCGGTTATCTATGCCCATGCACAAATAGACACTTAAATTTGTATAAAATTGAAACGCGTCCTACGTGGCACAATACACATAGGACACCTAAACTTATAGACATTTAAACTTGTATAAAATTGAACAAGTAGCACAATATACGTAGTACACTTAAACTTGTATATAGAATTGAACAAGTAGACACAAACGTATAGACATTTAAACTTGTATAAAATTGAACAAGTAAACATACGCGTCCTACGTGGCACAATATACGTAGGACACTTAAACTTATATATAAAATTGAACAAGTAGACACATGCATACGTAGGACCACATAAAACACAATTTCATCTATAACAGATGTATTTATTTTTCAATTTTATACCTTTTGTGACACCCTCTCCTTTTTAATATGTCCCAAAAGATTGTCGCGCCTAACATGAGTAGGCCAAAAATACATTTACTTCCCCCCTCTCATTTTATATGGGACCTTTTCCCATCGCATTTTATATGACACTCATTCCTTTTTAATTCGTCCTAAAAGAATGTCGACTCATTTATACCCTTTATGTGACACCTTTTCCTTTTTAATATGTCCCAAAAGATTGTCGTGCCTACTTGAGTAGGCCCATAATACATTTACTCCCTCGTCCCATTTTATATGGACCCTTTCCCGTGTCATTTTATAGGGAAAATTGTATGAAATAACAAACTATTAATTCAAATTAAATGTTATAGCTATAGATTCTTTTATTTGTAATTCGCAGCAAATATTTCATGTTATTTGCCATCCCATTTGTATACCGAAATATACAAATGGAGGACCCATTTTTACACCGAAATATACAAATGCAGGACTCATTTGTATATCGAAAATATACAAATAGACTCAAATATATATTTTTTTATGTGTATGTATACCGAAATATACAGATTAATAGTCATAAAGTTTATTATGGAACGCAATTATACAAACTATAGCTATATATATCATACAAATATAATTTTTATGTTTGCTAACCTAAAATTTACTCTATTTTTTATGACACTCATAATTCGTCACAAAAAATGCCACATTATGTCATTGTCATTCACAAAAATTAATCACCTCCCTATTAATTAAGTACTACACCAAATATTAGTATGGAACAACAAAATGCAAAATTGTCTTTTAAGTATTGGGCCTCAAACAACATGAAGCCCACAACTAGAAGATTGGAAAACTTGGACTTGATTTGGTGGGGTGCGCCAGGCCCATGCAGTAGTGCAACGCATAGGCGACGCGCGAGAGCCCAGGTAGCAAGCTACCTTGATGGACTCTCCCCCTTAAAAAATTGAGTTAATATCGTGTGGACCGATGGTCCACATATCAGATATTAAACTGATAAGAACAGATACTACACTTGATCTTAGCCAAAAGGCCGAGAAAGGTATGCTTTAAAATGTTAATGGGCCTATCCACTTATAGCACCTGTCTACTGTCTACTCATTTGTTTCTTTCGATGTGGGAATCAGTGTAAGTGAATAAACGCCTGCAAAACTGAAGGAGCAGAACACTATGTCTAATCAACTACAGTTTATGAACAATTTATTTTCATATCTGAAACTTAAAAAAAAAGATTGGATAAAAAACAACTAACAGTTATTAAAGCAATTAAAATTTAGGAATGTACAAAATTATGTTTTATGCTACGTATTATTTCTTATAGGTAGTAAAGTAATGTGAATACACAAATATTGGGATGGTAGATACTTATGTGCATCAGATGTTTACACCAAATTGATGTAATTTATCGTAGTTAAGTGATCTAATGGAGTTGACTTTAGATATGAGAATTAGTGTTATCACGTTCCATTAAATGTTCTTTGCAAACAAATAAAAAGGAGGTTATATTCTATAGTATTTTTAAAAAAAATATTTCATCACTAATTTATGTCTTCATTGGATTCCTCAAGTTGCCTTGCTAATTATTCTCCATGGTGATCAATTTTTCTATCTTGGAGAATATAATAGCTTATTCTTTGTGTCTCTCTTCTTGCACTCTAATTACACTTTATGGAGTATTTAAGTTCCGTCATTAACCGTAAATGAAGTTAAATAAACCTTAAGACATATTTATTGCATTACAAAGGAATAATATTAATACTAAAAAGAAATAGTAATCTTCCAAGTATTTTTTTCTCTAAAAAATAGAAAAAACGAAAATTTGACTAGTATCTTTGGTTCGAACTTTGTACATGTGTAAAACATTCACCAAAAAAGCCACTACAAATGATTGATGTCGAACCTAGTAAATCAATTGAGTTGTGATAGAATCTCGAACTCGTTCCCATAAAGTTCAAATCTTGTATTTGCTTGTCTCTGCATAACATTACCATACACTATCATTCACCGTATAATAATTCTTACAAGTTTATTCACCGTATTACATTATAGTCATCGCATAACTAATACATGAATCAAACAACCATGACCACCAATCTAAGCAAAATGCAATATGAATATCACAAACCAAGATAAGGTGATCAAATAGAGCAAGAATTTCAACAATTATACAATGGAGGATATCTCTTAGAAAGTAGTCTTTTATTTCTGACCACTGAATCCCAGCAAAACATGTTGATTCTGCATATCTCAATTTCCTCTTCGAAATTTGCCTTTTACAAGATATGCAAGAGAATTCCATTCTGATCAAAAGTATGCAGCATATTATATTACTGTTATAAACACTCTCATTCGAAAGACAAAAATGTTCTAATTCTCAGCAAGATTACACGCGATCGCCCACATTTGACTCAAGAACTGTATACAAAAATAAGGCATTGGCCTTAGCCCCAATTTTAGGGGGCCTCAATTTTTTATCAAGAATAAATAATGTGTTAATTTTTAAAAGAAAAACATTAATTATTTATGATAAAAAGTATATATTTAAAATTATTATTTTATTCTCTTCAACCCAATTCAAATAGAAAAAATCATGAAAATATTGTTTTATTTTCTTACACTCTCTCTACTAATACTCACATTATTTTCTTTTTAACTCCTTTTACACTCTCTTCTTTAAATTGTTGATAAGTTAGAGTAATATTCTGTCAAAAATATCAATTAATAGTCAAAAAGTGTTGAACAAATTGAATTGTAAATTCTTTTTCCATTTCTTCTTAGATTTTCAAGCATTACAACAACTATAGTAAAATGTGGGGTAACCAAAGTATCAACTTCATCAAAGCTATGGTTCTAACTCTTATATTTATTTGAAATTTGTCAACTTATTACTTGTAGAACTATGTTAACAATTCATATAATGATTGTCCGAGTAAAATAATATTTTTCAACGATGAATTAATAAAATCTTATTTAAAACTAATAATTGAAAAAGAAATCGAATAAATCATTTATATATATATATAAAATATTAGGTAATACTTTGCATTTAAAAATGTAAGAAATTTTTTTTAAAAATAAATGCATGTGAAGTTTATTTAGAATTTAGGCCTCTAATTAAGATTTCGCTTTAGGCCTCCGATTACGTTGAGCCGCCTGCTCAAGAATAAACAACAAACATATCCAGAATATAAAAGTGACCACTAATCTTGCAATTTAGCTAAGATAAGGTACTCTTATCTTTTTATCATTTGGAACATTTCATTCATCATAAAAAAAATAAAAAAAAAGAGATAAAAAGAAGGAAATCATCTGATTATTACATTTGTGGCAAAAATCTCTCTGTTGATTCAACTACTATAGACCTTTTCAACAACATATACTTGTCTAAATTCTCTTTTAATTTGTGGCATATACAAAGATTCCATCCTTAGTGTATTTCTCAAGTTTTTACTAGCATACGTTCAACACTCAGCTCCTATGATTTTCTCTTTGACGAGAGAGACGTGTCATATTTGTTTCATCTTGACTATTAAACATACTTCCTACCAGATAACTTTAACCTTAGATATACAGTGTAATTTTTCGCAGATGGGAACCTATGTGGCTCTGCCCCTGGATACACCCATGTAGAAGGTATTCTAAATAAAAGGCAGGATTCTTAAACATCAGATACTTTGTTGTATAATGGCATAGATTCCTATTGTAGTTCTTTTACTAGAATATAAACTGCGAGATTTTCGACAAATGGTGTCCCTCCAGGCTCCACCTCATCCAAGTGGTCAGGTAGTATCTCAAATGAAAAAAGGTGTCAAAGCAAGTGGTCTAAAAGGTTTCCCTCTTATGGTAACTTTCAGAGGCTTTCCTAACTATAACTCCTTTTTTAATGACCGTGGTGTTCAGGTCAACTTTTGCTCAACTAATTCCATGGGATACCTATCACCTCCCATCAACAATAGGTACCAGGTAACTCTATCGACCAAGGCTAGGACAACTCTTCATGCTGAATAAACTATAACTCGTCCATCTGGAGTCTAGACAAATAGATGGTTGATACTAGTTTCGAAAAGAGCTTTAGAGTCAAAGAGAAGTCACTTTCATGCTAGTTGATTTCATTAGTTACAACAAATAACAACACTGCAACTATAGTATAGGAGTACAAGAGAAAATAAGTAGAAAAAAAAACATATAAGTTAGCTAGTGAAGAGGGTACCTAAATATGTTTTACACCATGATAAACCTCATGGTACCTACACTTTATCTTAAAAAACAAAAGCAGAGGAAATTCTGAAAGACGTGGTAATAGAAGTAAGCACCGGGTGACTCCATTTGTAGAGAATTGTTTCGATACAGCTATAGGCAACCTAATAGTTATAACCATCCAAATGTAAGTCGATAAAACTTAAAAGAACAGTCGAAATTGAGCTAATGAATAACATTAAGTACTTGGTCTTTTCACTTTGTTCATAATTCGTTATCATCAAAACATACAGATCAGCAATGCTGAAGTCAATGCACAGATTGTCAATAAGATTACACATATCTTGATAATTGTTTTTTGGCCTAAAATACTATAGCGTTGGCGCGTCATTATTAGCCATGTTGGGTATATAGCAAGAGTTAATGGAAAATAGAGGGAAGATGAAAAGAGAGAACCTTGAAAAGTTGGGAACTTGAAAAGTCTTTTTATGCTTTATTAAAAAGGCATTTCTCCCTCATCGGTGGTGGAAAGAAAAACAGAAAAGTTTAAATAGAGAAACACTTCTATTAATTGTTAAAAGGGTTGGAAAGAGGGACCCCCTCGCGCCGTCGTCGCTCGTTTGTTAGGCTTTGGAAATCAAGAGATTATTTTTGGACAAAGTTTGTTTTATTTGAATTTCCCGCCGTTGGAAATGACTGTTCTGAAAGGTTGCAACTTTCAGGAACAACCATGACCGTTTGAAAGGTTGCAAACTTTCAAGAATGGTCGTGTGTATTCTGAAAGTTTCAACCTTTCGGAACCAATTCTTGGCTATAAATACCACTAATTCTTCAGATTTTTTCCTAATGAATTTTTCTGATTTCTTCTTCTTCTGCACAAAGTTTCTTCGTGTACTTTACTGCCGAATTTCCCGCCGTTGGAAATGACTGTTCTGAAAGGTTGCAACTTTCAGGAACAACCATGACCGTTTGAAAGGTTGCAAACTTTCAAGAATGGTCGTGTGGATTCTAAAAGTTTCAACCTTTCGGAACCAATTCTTCTTGGCTATAAATATCGCTGATTCTTCAGATTTTTTCCTAACGAATTTTTTTGATTTCTTCTTCTTCTGCACAAAGTTTCTTCGTGTACTTTATTGCCGTTGAGTGGCTCGCTGACACCAGTGTTTTAGGTATCAATACACTGGTGATTGAGATCATTCTATCCTGGGTGGACATATTTCAAATCAAACCTCGGATACTAGAGGGGAATAATTTCCTTAAGGGGACACCGTGCATTCAGTGAGCTTGATCTTTTTCCGTTCTGTTTTTCCAGATTCTGGTATGTTTTACAGATTTTAGTTTTTTTTGTGAATTAATTTCTGTTCTTCTATTTCATCACTGGTTCATTGGAAACTTTGGTAACTTCATGTTTTTACAAAGTTTTTGATAATGAGTGCTACTGTTTTAAACACAGATTGTCAACAAGCCATAGAATTGGAATTAGGGGATCTAATCTCTTCCAGCAGAGTGAATTTCCTATCTGATATATCCACTTGCTGATGATAATACTTTTCAACAAAAAGTCTGGTCACAAAATACTATTTTCTTATTCTCCCTCCACCTATTCTTACTTCAAGAATCATGTTTTATACCTCTCCTAAAAGAAAAATATTCGCCAACTTGCTACAACTCAACGCCTTCTTCTCCATCTTATAAGGAGCTAACTTAGTATTATGTTCCCCATACAATTCACTTGAGCTAGCACTCGGCTTTAGGTGAAGTAGCTCTGCACTTCTCTCCAGAGCTACTTCTCGTTTAACTTGTAATTCTTTAATGGCCTCGTGGACTTCAAGGCAAAACAAGAAGTTCGAAGAGGCTTTGGCGTTATATGACAGAGACACACCTGATCGTTGGCATAACATTGCAAGGTGTGTAGGTGGAAAATCAGCTGCAGAAGTGAAGAGGCATTATGCAGTGCTTGTGAAGGATATCATGCAAATAGAAAATGGTCAAGTACCTTTACCAAATTACAAAGCCGCGGCTGAAACCAATAGCAGATCAGGTTATGCCAATGAACATAGGTATCACAAATCAAAACTCGTATACAAGTCAATGATATGTTTTGTATCGATTCCCATATGTTCATGTCATTTGCCTATTCCTGGTACTGTTTATGTTTATTATACCATCTATCCATTTTTAGTAACTTTACGCCAAAGACTAGTCACACTCACTTATATTCTAAAGAATAAATGCTTAAAGTTTCAACTTTCTGCAAGAGGATAATATTAGATATGTCTGTCTATTTATCTCTTTAAGCTTCTGAATAATGAATCTAGTCCTACTTGTTTTAGATAATACGCGTAAGTCCCTGCACCTTCATCCCCTACCACCACGAATCCACGACTGTTTAACAATTGTTTCTTGTTCCTCGATAAAAGAAAATGTATAAGTTAAACAAATAAATAATGCTTATCGATCTCCTCATCTTATATCAGTTCTTTACGTGTCTATATTTTGTTGAACAGGCTTCTGAAGAACCTGAAGTTACAGTGAGAACAAATTTCGCGGCCATGCTGAATAACATCACAAATTCTCTGCTTTATTGCAAATGCAAAAGGCATAAATTGTGAATTCATGTCTAAGTTTTTGAAGTAAGCAAAATGTATGACTTATTGTTCATCTGTATCCATTTAACTTCTGTGTTTATCAAACGCGTAATTTATAGATATAATGTCTACTTCACTTCCATGTTAGTGTAATATGTTTGATAAAATAAAACCAAAACTACACCCTTTATAGTCTGAATTCAACAGATCACAATTCTCAAATCATTTGTTCCTTTTTTAGATATAATTCTTACAAGTTGTATGGATAACTTGCACAATTCAGTTCTGGTTCATGTAGAATTTACATGCCTCCTAACACAATTAACTAATGAATAAAAAGTGTGTTCTCTAACAATTTAAGTCTTTAGATGAGATGCATACACTTCAATATGGTATCAGAGCACGTAGAGGTCATGAAATTTCCACATGTTTGGCCGATGATCGAAAAAGAATCAGGCCCGCATGTGAGGGAGCATGTTCATAAGCTTTTAGATGAGATGATCACATACTTCAACACTAGTCCTACTCTCATACACGCATCGACACTGATCTCTTTTGTTGACCCTGTTATCTTTAACAAGTAAATGCATTAAAAATCATAGGTTTTTTCCCTTTTTAGTCATAATCATAAGCTTTTTCCAATTCCCTTACACTTTTTGCATTCTGGACATCAAGGAACAACTTAATAAGTCAACTAAAGAAACTTTCTCAGTATTTTTCTTCTTCCTAGTCCTTCCGGTTCAACTTTAATGCAAAAAAGGTACACTCTCATTATAAAGATAAGTTTAAGTTACTATCAGAAATCACGAGTTTGAGCTATGGTAGTCCACATCTAAAAATAAAATAGGAACATAAAAAAGATAGGTTTAAGTTACTATCAGAGATCACGAGTTCGGGCTATGACAGTCTACATCTAAAAATAAAATAGGAACATAAAAGTGGAGATGCGGGGTATCGATCCCCGTACCTCTCGCATGCTAAGCGAGCGCTCTACCATCTGAGCTACATCCCCTTTCATATGCTGTTCATCTTAAATTTAATTCATATATCTTATAAATATCTAGCAAACAGAAATACATGAACGTGGTGTGGTATAAAGAAGGAAAATTTAGCACTTATTTTAACGAATCAAACACAAAAAATGCTTAAAAGTTGTTTTGATTTAAAAACACTTGAAACTAAATGAATTCAAACAGGCTTACATCATATTTCGTTTTAAATAATTGTATACATCGTCAATATAATAGGATTAATCATAAATTTAATTTTTCTTTTTGCTAAAAATAAATTCCTTCCTATCTTTCACACACACACAAAAAAAAAAGACATACCATCCATGCGCATTTTATAAACATGTAGGTAGATTCAAATTTTACAAGAAACACCTTTACATGTAGGAAAATATTATTGTCATTGAATATCAAGAACAAAAAAATGCTATTTTCTCTTATAATACATTGTTAGGCAACTAACTAACTAATCACATTCCCCTCAACTTTTTTCGAGGGGAGGAGAGAAAGAACGCATATATGAAACTTCTGTCAAAGGTTCGAGAATCTATGAAAGGCCGACACCTTTATTATAGGCAAGCAAATCAACAGACGAAAATAAAAAAGGAAAAATCTTGAACACCCAACACATCTCTTCCTCTTCGTCTTCTTCGTATGACCAAATTTGTACCAATTCTTGAGTCTCAAAACTATAAGCAGCAATTGTATGTGGCAAAACATGTAGATATAATACCTGCAAATCTTTATTGAATGCACATGGCTTCACTGAATACCCTGTTTTAAACCTCGAATCTTGATCATCATTTATATTCACCAGTCTTACAAAATGATCAAACTTGAATTCACTTCCTCTGAAACTCCATATGAAAACTCCACTGTTAACTGGATCACAAAATTGTATCACTCCGCCTTCCGATGATTCGTATAAAAACTGAGAGTAGTAGACATCTTTTCCTGATCTTCTGGAATTGTTTTTCGGCAGTGAAAAAAGTGTAAATACTTCGAAATCTATGTCGTATACTAACAAACATAAACTCCATATCCAGTACAATTTTCTTTTCTCGCGAGAAAAAACACTCGAATTAAAGCATTGCCCTCGAATAAATCCATCTGATTGAAGGAGCTGCGAATTCAAAATTTGAATTTGGGTTTCCCGCCACTTCCATGAATTCGATTCGAAGATCATACAATTCATCATATGGGTATCGAAATCAACTTCTTCCCAGAAGAAAGAGATAACTTGAAACAAATTCGATTCAAAAACAAGACTTGAACAAGTGGGTCTTGAAATATGATGAGAAATTGGTAGAGAGATTAACTGGTCAAGAGCAGGGGATGAAACAGAGTATGTCCAGAACCCATTGTTGTTGTTGTTTTCTGAAGCGTAAAGAAGAACCCCATTACAAGAATCAATCAAATAAGGGAATTTATGAGTGGAAGATGAATGGAAAGTACCAAATTTGGGGAAATTTTTCTGGGTTTGATCGTGTAACTTCATAAAAACTGATTCTTGATAAGTTTTGTGTTTTAGGAAGAGGACGAGACCAGTTGAAGTTGTGAGAGGGAAACAATGGCGGATATTGGTAATCGAATTTCGCCATGTTTTCGAAACAGTCTTCAATTGGATGAGAGATTTTAAGGGAATTTTAGTGAAAATTGATTCAACTATATGATTTGATAAATTCCCAAGCTCTATCATCTCTTCTTCTTCTTGCTCTGTTTCCATGGCAATCGCCATTGCTAATCTCCTCTGTTTTTTGTTGTTAAATTTCACATGTAATTAATTATACTTAAAAGGTATTTATAGAAACCCTAATATACTAGTTATGGCGGTTAATTATCAGTTACAGTTGATTTTTTGTGTCTGGTAATTAATTAGAGTAATTGATTAATTATACTTTGTGTGCAAGAATCTAAGCAATTAAATGCTTGATGACCAAGCATTAAATTTCTATAGTTAAACGAGTTTATTTATTTTTGGCTATTTATTTTCAAATATTTTTGGCAGGTTATTTTTTGATAAAGTTTTACCATGTGTTTGACAATAGAGTTTCGGAGAAATATGTGACTTTAAAAAAATCTGATTTATACCGATAAATTCTAAAAATTATTTGAAATACTCCTACGTTTGTATTATCATTTTATAATGAAAATGTTCCGTGAAAAGTCATTACAAGAACATAATTAATATGAATTTTAAAAAAGAGGAAGTAAACAAAAGAAAAATGCCATTGATTTGTATACGAAAAACTATTATTATTATTACTTGTAATTCGGAAAGCAAATTCGGATAAAAAATGCATAAAATATGTATATTACGGTATAAAAATAAATTGTGTGCAACAAATTAATAATGAAATTTAGTCCAAAACTATAAAAGATGAGTATTTGATTTTAAGCTACTAGTAATAGTGTGATTATTTGTGAGAGATGTTATTTTATGCATGTATTAGTTATATAAAGTTTGGTTGTTTATGTACTCCTATTAGTTGTTCTATCTTTTATATCCGGCATAAAATAATACACATTTTTTCATAACTTCCACATGCAATAGTTATGCGGATTTTTAAATTGTCAATCAAACGTCTTATTAATCTTATATATGAATAACGTATTTTCTCTACACCTACCAAACGTCAATATCATCTAACTTATATGAAAACTAATACAAAAATTACTTATTTCTTATCTGCTATCAAACAACTTCTAATTTCACAAGTAAAATATGAGAAGGATGATGTGTATGTAAATCTTATTCCAACTTTATAAGTATAGAGAAGTTATTTTTAATAGATTCTGACACAAATAAAACAATTCAAAGTAAAGAAAAAAATTGCTATAATGTTGCTCTCAATTAAATTAGATGTCATAATTTTGACCTTTCACAAAAATAGAAAAAATAAATAAAATTGTCATATTTGCTGAAGTAACATGTGTGCCCATATGTGGTCCTGTTATTATTAGAAAGTAGGAAAAAGAAGTATGAAAAATATTTAAATTGGATCTCATGATAATGATAAGTGAACATAATTTTGGCACAGATTAAGAAAAGCATCCCCAATTAAGGATGTTAATAGAATATTTATTTATGCCATAAGAAGCAAGAATAGTATAATTGCATGTGTTTTTTTATTACATGTTTGCAAGACTCAAATTGTATGTTTATTAGTCGGTGCTTACCTTAAATTAATAAATGCATATATTATTTGCACATCAACTATTTCTATTTAATTATAGTTGACTAATATGTACTTTATATTCTAAATCTACCTAATCATGATAAGACAATTCCCCCTCATTAACTTTTTGTTTGTTTTATGTTATAAATTTTAGTGATTCAAATCTTAATTATAAGTGTGTATTCGTTATATAATACTCCCTCCGTCCCTATTTACTTGTCCATATTTCCTCTTTTAGATGTCTCTATTTACTTGTCTATTTTGACAAATCAAGAAAGGACAAAAAAAAAATTCATATTATACCCTCATTTAAACTTCTTGAAAATTTAAACTTCCCCCAACATTGATTAGTTATCTTGAATAAATTTATTTTGGAATCATAATTAATAAGGGCAAAATTGTAACTTCACTATGTTAATCATTGTTACATTAATATGTGTGTCATTTCTAAAGTGGACAACTAAATAGGGACGGAGGGAGTATTAATTTTATAACCACTTAACGATTTTAAATAGATTGAATAATTAAAATATATGAATCTACTTTTATCGTTAACAGACGATATTGTCGCCACCCACCATTAGCAATTACAACCACATTCGACTGATATCTTTAATTACAGTTATCATCGCCGCTAATCATCAAAGTTAGTTATTACTATCATTAGTCACCATTCACAATTATCATTATCAATCATCCATTATTACAAATAGTCATCACAAATCAATTGCTTCTATTTTATATTGTCAATGACTGTCATCATTCACAACCAACAATCGTTCATCATAATTATTAGTTATCACCTCTAGCTTCAACTATTAATAACCATTATAAATTATTACTGTCAGTTATCATTACGACTAGCTATTACCCATAATTACCATTATCGTCATTAATGACACAAAAACTACAACCACAGTAAATAACCATCATCACCTTCAACTATCATAAAACTTTTAATAAAAAATTATTAATATAGCATATAAAAATATTTATAAAAATAATAATTTTACCGTTACTTTGATATTTCATCAAAAACATACAAAAACTTTTAATGGATGCATTTCCCAAGTTATCATATAAATTGATAATGACCACAAGTAGCCTTCTGATTCCTCCTATGGTCCATTATCTTCATGTTTCAACATTTATAGCATCTGCTTCTGGCTAGCTTATCTAAACAAAATTACAAATATTATTCAATTTTTTTATATTTTAATAATAATATAGAAAGAGTGAAACAAACTTTCATAGACCCAATTTAATATTTACCATTTGTTTCCAATAATTTTAAAAGTGAATGGAAATTAACCACAACCACAAATAAAATATGATGAATATGTGTGAGTACAATCATGTTCTTTCCTTGTTCTTCTTTTTGAATCTCCTTCACGATTCGATGATTTTAATATTTATTAAGTGGGATGATTTGAACCTCTTTGCAATGTATTTTATTATTAGGTAAGCCGGATAACATTCTTGAAAAAAAGACAATATTTGATGTGTGAGATGTGAGGTTTTTATAAAAGACAATATTTATTAAATATTTTTTTAAGAGAATATGTTATCATTTTATATAGACGTGAGTTAAAATTTAAAATAAAGTAACCTTCAAAAACCATTAAAAAGATTGAACTCGTCTTATAAAGTCTGACCTATGCACTAATTTAAATTAAATTAGACTAACCACATTTGTTATAAATAATTACCACTTGTTATCGACTTGCAAGAATGGTAATATATTTATGTCTGTATACAAAATTAAATTAATTCAACTGGAAATATTCAAAATAATCACTTCTTTTAATAAACAATATAGCTTGGTACATGTACACCTTTGAGTTTCACTTACTTATTATATTGTTTATTTTTGGCGATTTATTTGTTATATTATTGAACATGATCCAAAGAAGATTCACCATTGTTCGCTTCCAAGCTTATTTATTAATTAATTAATTTTCCTCTATTTTAATTTGTGTTTTAATTTGACGGTGAAATATAATTATCAATTACTTCCTTCTTCCCATATTAAAAGTCAAAATTATTAAAAATATGTATCCCAAAATGATTGTCATTTTACAAAGTTAAAATGAAACTAATTAATATTATTTCATTTTGCATTTAATATTAAGTTTTTACGGAAGCAATCAATATATCAATTACATAGTAAAGAATTAACATAAACTTGAACAAATAATTATTGGTTGATATTATAAATTTTCAAATATAAAAAATAATAATTTAATATAATTTCTGTTCAGTCATATTTCTTAAAAATAAGGGCACAAAAAGAAAAACACAAGAACTACTAATATACAACGAATGGATACATTAAATACATAATACATAAATATATTCTTTAATTTGGTTATGTCTCTCAATTTTGGATGTCTACAAATAGAAACTTAAATTTATACTTGCACAAGTAAATACACGTGTTATACATGATATAATATAAATAAATTATCATGTAAGACTCTCAAGCAAATTATCACCTAGAAACCTATCTTTTACTTATTCAATTTTAAAATAAATGATGTATATTAAATCTTAGTAATGGGATAAAAACATTCAATCATTGCAACGAAAAGATGTATATGCATTGTATTTAGCAATTAATTTTAAATGAGATAAATAATATGAATGCCTAGTCATTTTCTCTCTTCTTTTTTTTAAGTGACAATAAATTAAGGTGACGCAATTATGTTGTCTCAATTGTCGAGCCCCTGCAATATTACTGGTAACGCAAATGCCTTGAATGTTGATTAATCTGTAAAAAGATAAAGCAAGTACCAAAGCAAATAACAGAAATTAGACATAGGAAGAGACCTCACCCAGATGTAGTTTTGTACTAGTAACATATTTTTTTTTTATATGTCATTTAAGAATATTAATTGATTTTAAAATTATTTCACTCTTAATTTCATGTATTAAAATATAAGTTTTTAATCATAATTGAAGTGATTATAGCGTTTAACAACAATTACTTTTCCCAATCTTAACATAAGTCTATTAAATATTTTGAGTTATTATTTATTATGAATTTTTTGAGAAAAGATTGAGGTAGTAAAAGAAAAAATAAAAGAGGAAATTACAAGGTGGGTGAATCAAACCTCCATAAATAAGGTGAAAATTTAGATAGTTAATCAATAAAACAATCAAGATTCCTCAATTGTTATGACTTATAACTAGTACTTTTGTTATGTAATAGTCTTCAAACTACACATGAGATGTAAACTGCACTAGACAAACTCTATGCAACAAACTCTATTCACAAGGCATTGAGGAGGGATCACATGAATGATCACCCTCCAAACCAATTGAGTCATCCCAAAGGACAAATATGTTTATTTTATTCTTTGGTAAAACATAAAAATTCGATGTCCAAAACTAAGACTCGTAGCTAGCTCTCATCTTTTTGCTTTCTTGATGAGTCGAACTCATAATCTTAGATTTAAAAGGCAAATACATATTTTTGTTTAAAATTGAACAAATAGACACACACGTCTTACATGAAATCTTATATAGTAATTTGCATCATATGTGGCGTCCTACGTGTATTATACCACATAGGACTCATGTGTCTACTTATTCAACTTTATATAAATTTAAGTGTCTACTTATGTACATCCAAAATTGAAATTCATAAATATGAAACGATACAAATTTATGTATTATGCCATTTAAAAATGAGGAACGTTTACCATTCGAGCAAATCTTTCTTGTTGAAACTTGAATTGTGACAAATAAATTGAAACGAGAGAAATGGTTGCTTGGGAGAAAGCATGGAGTTTGCAGGGTTTTGCAGGTAGAAGGTGACATAGAATAAAATACAATTACACTCATAATTTGCATCAATTCATTCGGTAGAAGAACGTGAATATATAATAAAAGCTGAGCAGAGTCAAATCAGATTGCAGAATCGCACTATTTTTGCGTCATTTTCGACTCTATGTGTATGTAACACGGTAAACTAAAAGATTCACCAACTCCCCAAAACATTACAACTTATAAATTACAACCAAATAACTTATCATACAAACCGTTTTACACCTAGACTAAAATTTTCTACCTACCAATTTGGATTACCAATCACAAGTGAGTATGTGTAAAATTAAATCAAGTGTTATAAGATTTAGTGAATCTTTAGAAGACTAGAGTAGGGATGACAAATATGACCTAAGAAGTGATGACTTGTTTAATTTGTCCAAAATTTTAATTTATCGGTGGAATACAAGATAATTTTATATTAAGCTAATTTTAGCCAAATCCAACATTCATTTGAAGTGGTATTCAAATTTGGCCCAAGTCTAGTACTATATTTTTAATATTTACTTTGACTTTCATATGGTTTGGAGCTCAAGTCTTGAGTTAGAGTTGAAAATTGGGTTGCTGGTTAAGGTTGAATCTCGACCGTTGGACCTCAGGTAGAGATCGGTTTAGGATTCAAGACTCACGACAAAGTCAAGGGTAGAATCTCATGTCCCGAATTACGATCGGGTATTGAGTCCCAAGTTAGAGTCGAAGGTTGAATCTTGAGTCTCGGATCTCAAATCATGGTCGAGTGTCAAATCTCGAGTCATGGGTGGATCGAGGTTGAGTCTAGACTCTTGGTTAAGGTCAGATTTCATGTAAAGATCAAATCTCGGGTCATAACTGGGACTCAAAATCTCAAATTTTGAAACTCAATTCAAAATCAAGTTTTGAGTCTGAGATCTCGAATCAAGGGTCGAGTCTCGGGTCCTAATCAAAGTCGAATCTCAAGTAAGATTAGATCTCAGGTTCGGATCCCGAATGTTGGGTCGAGATCGATTGAGGCTCAAATCTCATTTTTTTCAAACTAGTTTGAAAGAAATACAAGAGTACGTAATTATATATATATTTTAAAACAAAAAGGATTAATTATGAAAATAAAGTTGTTCATTCTACCCCTCACCCCCATGGAGATAAAGGGGGTAAGGGGTGGTGGTAGGGCAATAATGAATAAGTCGGGTGGTGGGAATGGGGCCAATGTTGGCAGGGCGTGGGAGAGGACTGAACATGACATTGTCGGTTGTTTTCTTATGCTCAGTCCTATTGTTTCTTAACACTCCATAATCTCTTTGCTGTTCCGCACTTACTCTCTCTCTCTCTCTCTCTCTCTCTCTTTCTTCTTTAGCTCCGTTTCAAGCAACCATGTTGTCTCTTGTTTCTTACATTCCATGTTTCTTCCTCCCCAACACACCACTTTTTTTTCCTTAAAAATTCCACTCTTTCTTAATCTAACGTAGTGGTTTTGCTTCTTTCTAAGGTAGTTCTTCTTCTAGGGCCCCATCCTCCCTTCATTTCTTCAATTTCACTCTTTGTTTTTTCTCTTTCTCTCTTTATCACCCCACATAACATTATTTCAAGTTCATGTGTAAAAGATAGGGTTAGGGTTTCTCAAATCTTAATTAGGGTTTTAATTAAGTAATAATAATGGAATTAGCTGGTGGTGAGGAAAAGGAGATGAGAATGTCAGGTTATCATTCACTTGATCAAAATATAGATCTTCTCTCACCTGTATCCGGCGGTGGAGGTGGTGGTGCAGCGCCAGGTGATGGCACTGCACCACACACCGCTGGATCTAATAAATGTAACAAGGGAACTGCTGCTACAGCAAGAGCAAAGTACCGTGAGTGTCTGAAAAATCATGCTGCTAATATTGGTGGAAATGTTACTGATGGATGTGGTGAGTTTATGCCTAGTGGTGGAGAAGGTACACTTGAAGCTTTGAAATGTGCTGCTTGTAATTGTCATCGGAATTTTCATAGAAAAGAACAGCCTAATAATAATGCCGGGATTATGGTTGTGCATCCATTACAGCTACCACAACCACTGCCTTCTCCGATACCATCGTTGAATCATCACCACCACCATCACCATCAACACGGAGGAGGAAGATCAATTTGGACTACTATGCCACCTCAGCCTGTCAAAATGGCCTTCGGAGGTAATCTCAGATCAAATCTCATTTGCTCAATTTGGATTATCATGCTACCTCAGCCTATCAAAATGGCCTTCGGACTTCGGACTTCGGACTTCGGATTTAACATTCCATTTACTTGTATTAATTATTGCATTTTATGTGTCTTTGTTTCACATGACACAAAATTTAGAAGCATAAAAAAGTGAATATCTAATTTGAATATTGTGATTTTAACCCTTACTTATCATTTCTAAAACTAGTATCATTAAGAATAATTAGAATGTTAGATTTTAAAGCTTACTGAAATATTCATATGAAAACATATTCATTTTAAAACATGAAATAAAAGTTTTTCCAATTTGTGTTATAGAACTAATTTTTTCACCTAACTAGCTCACTAGGAAAATGCACGGCAGTCACTAATAGTTAAAAACATCCTAATATTTCCGCGTGAAAATGTTCTCATCTTTTCTAACTGAATCAATTAAAATATCTATGGAAAAAGCCTTTAAACATTTCTCCATGGAAAAACATTAAAATGGATGAGTATACTTAATTATGTCTTCAACACGTTCCTTTACTAACTTGTAGTACCTTTTTTAATGAACAAAACATGTTAACTCGAACCTAAGACTCTTGATATCATGATGAATAGTACGATAATCTCATCTAGAAGCTAAAATCATTAAAGAGAACTATATACCTACATTTTATTTTTTATTAACTTAATTATGTCTTCAACAGGTAGCGGGGGAGGAAGTGGGGCAACAGACTCATCAAGTGAAGAACTTAATTTCAATGCATATCATCATCAACAAGCAACATCGGTACCTCCACAACAACCATTTATGTTGGCTAAGAAAAGATTTAGGACAAAATTTAGTCAAGAACAAAAGGAAAAAATGTTGGAATTTGCTGAAAAATTAGGTTGGAGAATTCCAAGAGAAGATGATACTGAAGTACAAAGATTCTGCTCACAAGTTGGAGTCAAGAGACAGGTTTTTAAGGTTTGGATGCATAATAATAAGAATCCTTCTTCTGCTAAAAAAAACATAATACAAGAAGATCAACCTTAATTAATTTTATTTAATTAAGGTTTTGGGGGAAAAAAATTAAATGAAATTTCTTGGGATTTGGTTTCTGCTTATGTAATCTTACTAGGAATCGTACGTAGCTAGTTTTTTATTTTATTTTTGGTCTATGTAGCATTATTGTAACTATATGGAACCTCTTAATTAGATTTTTATTTTTATTAATTGTTGTACTTTGGAACCTTTATTCATCTGAAAATTTTCAGCTATATCTTGCACTTCTCTTGTCACTGAATTTTAGACCACTCATGAGCCCGCTTTTCTAGCTTTCAAGGTAGAGGTAAAGTTTGCGTATGCATATTCGATTTATAAAATTATATTGAATATGTTGACTCAAATTTATAAAATTATAATGTTTGATACGTTGTTGTTGATCTATTATCTCTAACATGAGGTAACTTTTATTCCTCATTTATTTTGCTTTTGTAAATAAAAAAATTGAAAAACTCTAATGCATTTTTCGTAAATTATTTTCTTAATATGCTTCAAATTTAGAAAAAATTTTAAGCCCTTATAGACTTGTTACTCTAGATTACATGTTTGGAGCTTATTTTGAATCTTGAAGTAATCGATAAAGTTGGAGCTTATTTTGAGTCTTGAAGTAATCAATAAAGTTGGATTTGTTTAAATTGGTATTTTGATCTTGCAAGATCTTCTATTTTGACTTGTCTAGTAAAAATTTGGTGAGTCATTTCGAGTTCGATATATTCAAAGTTCACGAACATGATTTATTTATTTTTTGAAATATAAAAAATGACAAGTAAAAGCGGAAAATAAATATTTTTCGAAACGGAAGGATATATAATGAATAGAGCGCCGTTGGATGAAAAGAAACAATGAATCTTAGTAGTCTAGTTTGAATTATTTGAAAGAGTAGTAATAGTTTTGATCCTTATTTTTGTCGAATATAAAAGCTGTTTCTATTTAAATTTATTTATTAGTTTGTGTGTTGTCCATTTCAATTAATTATGATGCTTCTTGGAGTTTCTGTCACCATTTAAATGTTTGTTTCCTATTTTGGGAATGGTTTGCTGCTTCTTTTTCTCACTATTTGAGGCTTATACTTATAGGCATATGGCACCAATCTTCTCCATGTGATAATCAATGTTTAGTGTCATGGACATTAGGTAATACAAATTTTCGATATTTGATTTGAGATTATGATTTTAAATCAATATTTGGATATGTGATTTGTGATTATGATCTGAACTTTTAAGTTCTTCAAAAAGTAGGATTTGAAATATCAAGTTGTAATTTCAGTTGATTCATAAGTTTTTTTTTAATAAAAAAGACGTATTATTTGAAAATTCATAAAAGAAAGACTCATGCTTAGCGTGAATAGATTGTTTATACCATGTGAAAGAATTATATTGAAAAATAGATAGTTACTGTTATTATTGATTAATGAATCTTTATAAAATAATCTGTATTTGAAGATTTGTAGTTGCAAATATTTACTTATAAAAGGGTCATGAAGATATGTGATTTATCAATGCAGTGCCTTAAGATATTTCGCTAGCTTGTTTATGAACTATGACTTATTCATTTGGCAAGATTGTATAATAATTCAAGAAATTTAAATAGTTTTCATAACTTGTAAGGTTTTTGTGTTTATGAAAAGATATATATACAAATTAATAAATTCAAATAGCATGTCCTAACAAAATATTATTTTATATGAATCATGATTTGAAATTCCAAATCATACTTACTGGAGAATTTTAGTTATAAAATCATGATCTTAAATTGCATATCAGTCAAACGCTAATTTGAAATCATAAAATGAAATTGCTTGTTCAAACATAGGCTTTGATTATGAATATAGTTGTACTATTTCCTTTGTCTCATTTTGTGTGGCTCCCTTTTTCTTTTTAGTTCATTTTAGAAAAAATGTCACCTTATAACTATATTAAAAACAATTTAACTTTAAAATTCTCTTTTCATCCTGATGAAATAACTTATAGTCACACAAATATCTAGGGATCAATTTAAACCACAGATTTTAAAAATTTTCCTTTTTTTAAACACCATGTCAAATCAAACGATATCATATAAAATGAAAGGCAAAAAGAAAAACTATATTTTTCTCATTCTTTATTTTCTTAAAATGTAATACAAGAAATATCTCTAAACTCTTAAGATATTTTTGTGAGCTTTTAATAATAAGAATTTAATAGATTAAAATCGACTCATATATCAACTGAATGAATTTGGACGTGTTGAAATATAATGGACGAAATTGATAAATAAGCGGAATAATAAGAATTTAATTGATTAAAATCGACTCATATATCAATTGAATGAATTTGGACATGTTGAAATATAATAGACGAAATTGATAAATAAGCGGATTTATAATTCATTGAAAGGTTATTTTAAACTTAAATTTGGACAGATTGAAATATAATGGACAAAATTGATAAATAAGTGAATTAATAATTCATTCAAAGGTTATTTGAACTTGATTAAGATGTAGTAAATAATAAATGATAGTTCAAAGTCTATTCAATTCTTATCAAATTTTAATTATCCTCATTTTTGTCTCTTTTTCATGTGCTTTGACGTTTGATTGCTTCTATCCATATCTTCACTTATTTGATATAAAAAAACAAAAATACATTAAACATGTAGGTCACTACATACTACATAAAACACATTATCCAAAGTAATATTACAAAAACTTAAGGATCATACATACATACAGGCTAATTTTTGGGGAGCGTTTGGTACAAAGAATAAATTATTTTTGGATTAATTTATCTCATTTGGAAGATGAGATAAAATGATTCTAAATATAATGGGATAATAAAGTGGATATCCAGGATTAAGTTTGAAATTAGATTTATAATGTGTCTGATTGACAGTATAAATCTAATCTCAAACTTAATCCTGAAATATCTCACCTTATTCCGCGTACCAAACGACCGATAAAAGTTCAGAGAGTTTCTGAACTAACCCTCTGATTAAATTTATTAAAGACAAGATTTCAAAGTCCTATTTGTTGGAGCAAAAAATACCCCTTCTTCTTCTTCCACAACTAACACTTTCTTTCCCTTTTTAGCCTCTTTTTTTCCAATTTGCATCATTTTTTGCATTGTGCTTTGAATATTACCATTATTATCAAACTTCATTTGCATTATAATATTCATTTGTGACTTCATAAATTTATACTTAGCAAGCCATCTTTGTATTTTCCCAGAAGTAGTCTTTGGTACATTTCCAATTTTAACAAGTACCACAAGTCCAATTCCAACACCTTCTTCTTTCATTATTGTTTTCCTTATTCCTTCACATATTTGCTTCAAAAACATATCACTCTCTATTTCACCCTTGCTTTGTACCTCCGTGACAACAACTATAGATGTGTATTCAGATTCAGACATCTCGAATGCTGCAACACAACCTCCTCTTAGGAAATTTGGACAACTATTATAAGTTAATGTCTCCAAATAATGTGGATGTATTTCTTGTCCATTTGAGAGTTTAATAACGTCTGAACATCGTCCTGTCACGTATAAAAATCTTTGTTCTCCTTCGACAACTCCTCTATCCCCTGTTCGAACATAGCATTTTCCCGCCTTATTTTTAAGCGTGGCGTTGAACACTTGTTGAGTTAGAGATGGATGTCCTAAATATCCAGTAGCATTGCTAGGGGATGAAATCCATATTTCACCTTCAATTCCATCTTCCACAATCTCATTTGTATCTTCATTCACAACTAGAATTTCAATGTCTACATGATCTTCATCAAGCCTAGCACTTGGCAAGAGCTTTTTATACGTCGAAAATTTGTCACAATTACTACTTTTCCATGATGTTGAAACAAATGTGCCATTCTCAGCTAAGCCATATGAGGGAGAAATTGCCAAAGGATTAAGCCCAAAAGGCCTAAAAACTTCAACAAATTCTTCAACACATGAATCGTTGTATATTGGCTCGTTAACGATGATCAAATTCATCAAGCTCATCATACTAATAGGATTGTTAACAGTTCTTGTAACAGTTGCCTCAGCATGACCACGTTTCAACACGAGTGGTAAAGCAAATGAAGGAACAGGAGTGCAAGTTGCCTTGAACTCCGATATCAATTCAAGCCAAATCCTAGGACGATTGACAAATGTATTCGGGGATGTCAACACACACGTTGCCCCTGAAACAATCGTCAACAACAAAAACATAAGTCCACAATCATGGTACTGAGGTAACCACGAAACAACAACAGTGTTCGGGTGTAAATCATAAGCTTTCCTCGCGACTCTAACGTTATGAGCTGCAGAGCCTGCAGTCACTAAAACAGGCTTAGGAATAGCAGTTGTACCAGAAGTGTACTGAATCAAGTACACATCATCAACATTGCAACCACTGTAACCAAAATTCACATTTTTCACTTGCATTTCCATTTTCTTGCCATTTAAATCCTCAGTTGAAATCCATCGAACCTTCTTCAAGGCCTCGGACAACTTCTTATTACTCGATCTTGCAACATACTTCTCAACATGTTTGATGTATTCGCGTTGTGCTATAGCAACTTTAGGCCTTGTTTGAGACATAACTCTAAGTAAATGATGCCAATTGCCATTCGAAAAAGACGGGTGAGGAGGGCTAATAGGAACAGCTAAAACTCCAGCCCTTTGACAACCAAATATCACTTCAACAAATTCAAGTCCTGGTGAACATAAAACAAGAACAGTATCATTTTTTCTTAAACTAAGTAACAATTCAGAAGAAATACATTGGGCTGAACTATTTAACTCCTCGTAAGTGATCGACGAAAACTGAACCAATGGGCCATCTTCAGCCCAAATGAAAGCTGGTTTGGACTTAAAACTTGAAAGTTTGGCCCAAATTGGAAGATAAAGATCCACAACAGGTTGGTCAGGGAAAAAAGGATCATAATTTTCATAGTTCATGGCTATAATCTTAAGTTTATTTGCAGAAATATACTGAATTTTGTATGAGTAAGTAAATCTTTTCAAGCATGTTTGTTATATATACTACATACTGGGACTAAGAAAAAAGGAATTTAAAAATTTTGATTGAGATTTTTTTTTTTTTTGTATATTTTAAGGATATACTGAAGGAATATTCTGGTATATACATCAATAGCCTCGTCAATTACATGTCTTAGTATGTTAAATTACTACTACGTTATTACCTAGGATATTATTTAAAAGGATATCAGACAAATTGCCGCGTATTTATCCTTTGTTGCTACATTAAGATTTATAATATAATGTTTTTTATACATGCAGAAAATATTTTTGTTAAGTTTGTTATGTATTTGGTACCTTGGAATATCTTTTGATACCATATGATTGTGTGGTGAATTTGTATGTTTCTGTTTGTCATAGCATTTGAGAAGTAAATACCCTCTCCGTTTTAATTTGTTTATCTGATTCTAATTTGGTATGAAGTTTAAGAAAGTAAAGGAGACTATTAAATCTTGTGATCTTAAACTAAAGATATGCAGTGTACCAAAATACTCTTTAATCTTATAATCTTAAACATGTCAGGAGTTATAACACCAGTTGTTAAACGTACTAAATGAATTTTTACAATGTTCTGAGCTTGATTTTTCAGTACATTTAGACAACCTGTGGCTAACATTACAGCAATTTGCTATCCCAAATATAAGCCTTCACAGCCACTGACAATCATGTGAACTTCAATTACTGTCCCCATGCACATGCCCTGCACTTCATGATTAGCAAAACAAGAAAATAAAAGGGTTGTAGCTACAAGAAAAGGCTAAAATGAATCTTATACCAAGAAAAAGAAAGAGAAGGGGGAGGGGCAACTGATCGATATCAGAGGCAGATTTAGCTTTGACAATGTGACTTTAGTCCAAACAGATCACTGCTCATTTTATTTGTATGTATTATGGTACAACTCGAGTTATATTGGTAACATTATATCCTCCACATCTGTCTCTAATAACTATTTATATTCTTAACGCTTGCACATATATATTACGCTTTGGTAATGCTTTACTAATTAATATGAGAGAAACTGTGAGTTGGAGAACTTGGTCTACATGTTAGATTAACATGTTGATCTTGCAACTTAGAATAAATAATAAGTCATTCATTATATATCGATCTACTCTCAAAATGATGACTATGGATTGTATATTTTGATATATTGCCTTGCAGTATTGATTACATTGTTATTAGTAGTGGAATGTTTATTATATTTCCACATTAACCATGATTTGTGTGTAACTAAGTTGAATAATAGTTTGATCAATGATATTTGTTCTTAATCAGAGAAATGATAAAAGAGGAAGAAGAAAATAGTGAAGTGATTCATGAGAGATTGGAAGAAAGTGTATTGTGATTTTTCTAATACACGAAAAAGTATATTTCATGGTGAGGTATTTATACACTCACTTGTACATAATGAACTTGATTAAAAAAAATAGAAAAATAACTTTTTTTCATATATAAAGTTGAATATAGAAAAGGTGATGTGGAGCGCGCCTCTCCATTTACACTTTTTTTTTTTTTTTCATTTTTTGACATTTTTCTGAATTTTTTATTGCATTTTTTGGTCCATTTTAGCAAACTGATTAAAGGATAATTAAAGATCTTATAAAGCTCAATTAAACATGGCAAACAAATGCATTAAAGCCTAATTAAAACTTGCAGCCCACGTTGCAGTCCCTTCATTTCTTATTTATGTCTATTTACAGTGTTTTCAATGTTAAAGTGAAAGACTGATTTTCAAAATCAATTCAACTTTTTAAGCAAAAATGATTTAAAAGAGTTGCCATATATTTTTCAAACATAAATTAAGAAAACTTGATTTTAGGGACTTTGACATAAAAAGTTTTTAAAAAATAGAGAAAAAAGGTTTGAGATTCTCATTTGCACTTCAAAAAGGGTTTTACGGCATTTGAAGGGTCCGCTAACACAAAATTATCCTACGACTTGACCAAAATATTTTGACTAACTTTGAATAATTAACTATGTAAAGAAAGCCTATTTTTAAAAGTCACTTGAAAAGAAAATGAACTTAAAATGATTTTTTAAGGAGTAAAGTGAAGTAATTGCCTTTTTTTTCCTCTTGACGGCAAAGCTCCTTCTTTTCGAAATTGTATAGTGTTCAATATAATTTACATCAACAAACAACTAAGTAAGTAGATAGTCTATCGATATATAATAGGAGAGGTAAAAATTGTCACATGTCAGCACCACAAATATTCAAGAATTTTAATTGTTTAAAAATAAAAAATAAAAATTGGAAGTTGAATTAAATTTTAGTGTATTTTTTTAAAATATCATAAATTGTTAATTATTACTCCCTTTGTCCCAATTTATGTAAATTACTTTCCTTTTTAGTCTGTCCCAAAAATAATGACACATTTATATATTAAGTAATAATTTAACTATAAAATATCTATTTTACCTTTAATGAAATGATTTACAGCCACACAAATTTCTATCATTCATTTTGGACCACAAGTTTTAAAAGTCTTTCTTTTTTTCTTAAACTCTATACCGAGTCAAATTACCTCACATAAAATGAAACAAAAGAGTAGTATAATTTATAATATAAATTTTTAAAATTTTTAGATACATAACAATTAACATGCCATGATTTGTAGGCCAAAACAAAAATGTAAATGTTCTAAATGAATAGGCCCACAAACTTAGATAAAGTAGTAATAGATAATGAAACAAAATTAAACAAAGTAGTAATACATAATGAAGGTTAATTTAAAATTAACTTAAAACTAATTTTATCACTTTTGTAACAATACGAATATATGTGTGCCAATTTTATAACGGTAGAGATATATATATGAGTCACTTTTATAACGAGGACATATCAGCTCTAACTAACAAAGTTGAGTGGTATATCAAAACTTTTTCCCATCTAAATATTTATAAGTGATTATCTTAATTTTTTTTTAGTATTTTTAATATATCTATACTATCTTAAAAACATGAACTCCCTAACTTGAATGTTAAATTACTATAATGCCCCCAACTTAAAACACTAAATTTAGTATATTTAATATTATAATTATTTACGCTACATTATATTAAAAGCATACACCTTTTCACATTGAAGGGTAGTGACTTTTCTAAATGGTTTTGACTTTTTTATAGAGTTGTAACTTCTTCGATGAGTTATGATTTTTCCCAAAAATTGTGATTTTTCTGAAGGGTTGTGACTTATTAGAAATGACACGATAAGAACCTTTACATACTATCCTTTGTTGTCTTTCAATAGAGGGGGTTTCTCACACTTTTAAACTATGAATTTTGTAAGTTTTCTATTTTTCTTCTTAAAACAAGGAAGATTGTGAGATCAGTTGCTCAATTATGCAGTTTCAATATTTTTGTGGGTAAATTAGATAGATCAACAAAAATTGATGCAACAAGGAGAATGAAATAATTCAACTTCAAACGAGAAGAGTATCTTGATAATTAATACGTACTCATTTTCATAGCCTTAAAATATACTTTTGCAGCAACTTCTACTTGACAAGAAGATCAATGATTTTCCGTTGCACAAACTACAACTTGGTGTTCAGAATCTGAAAAGTCCCAAACTGTTGGAGAAAAAGTATTTGATCAAAAACTTGTTTGAAGAGTCGAAACTACATTTAGTAAGTACTATTTCATTTCCAATTTTTTTAGTGTACTTTTATTTTTATTCAGTTTAATATAGAATATTCTTTTTTCTTGGGGTGGAGGCGCATCTTTAAAACCACAAAGTAAAAAGACATTTTTATATATTCTACATATAATCCTTACATTAAAAGTCTTTTTTATTTTTAAAAATTTCAGATTCAATTAAAATTAGACCAATCTATATCTATCTTTTTTTATCTATCTACACTACCTAACTTAAAACACCAAATTTAGTATATCTTCTATATTTTATATTGTATTATATTTATTTATGTGTATTATACTATATTATATTCAAGACAGACACCTTTTCACATTGAAGGGTTGTGACATTTTCGAAGAGTTATAACTTTTCCGATGAGTTGTGACCTTTCTGAAGGGTTGTAACTTTTCTATAGGGTTGTGACTTTTGGAAGAGTTGTGACTTTTCCAAAGAGTTATGACTCTTCCGATGAGTTGTGACCTTTCTAAAGGGTTGTGACATCTTTTTGATAAGCCACAATAAGCTGTTTTTCATACACTACCCTTTGTTTTCTATAAAAAGAGGGGCTTCCTCAAATTTTTAAACCACATTTTAAAAAAAAATATTAATTATTCTTCTTCTTCTTAAAACAACCTATTTAGTGTATCTTTTATATTTTTATGAGAAGGAACAATATGCACATACTAATTCTACACGTTTTAACTATAAATGGAGGGGTTTCCTCACATTTTTTAAACTATGTTTTTTTAAATGTTTTCTATTCTTCTTTTCTTAAAACCTCAAGATTGATTTACCGACGTTGACAATATCAAAGTTCAGTGAAATTAGAACACTCCCGAACATGAATGTTGAATTAATCTAATACTCCAACTAAAAAACATCAAATTTAGTATATCTTTTATATTTTATAATAATATTTATATTA